CTGGTACAGCCAACCCCACAATATTCTAAACACTGGACACACAAGGTCATTTGCTCCTCCAACAGATAACACCTTGGTGGCCAGTACTGTCTCAATGGGTTTTATATAGGGAATTCGGGACTGGGCAGGGGAATTCCTGGCCCAGGTCAGAAAGAAACTACCACCTGCATGCAGTTCCCAGGTTGAGGCCCACCTGACCATCACACCAATCAGGTGAGGTTGAATAGGTAACTCATGCAAACTATCATATTGATGCTTGGGGCTGTTTCTTAACTCAACTTCTTTTTGCAGACAACCAATACATAAAACAAAGAAGGAATGTACAAGTGTTGGTGCCTGGGCCCAAACCAGAAGCTTGCATCGCATTTGCAATTTCACAAGACCAGCTCCCAAAACAGGGCTGGCACTGTGGTCTAACAGGTAAAGCTACCACCTGAATGCCAACATCCCATAGAGGCACCAGTTTGAGTCCTGGCTGCTCCACTTCTGGTCCAGCTCCCTGCTAATGTGTCTTGGAGAGCAGCAGAGGATGGTCTAAGTGCTTAGGCCCCCGCACCCATGTTGGAGACCTGGAGCAAGCTCCTGACTTCGGTCTGGCCCAGCACTGGCTGTTGGGCAATAATCAGTGGATGCCTGTGTGTTTGTCTGTCTCTCCCTCAGTCTGTCTTGTTTTTCTCTCATTGCCTCTATAATAATAAAAAATAGAAAAATAACAATTTTTTAAAATCCCAAAGCTGCTCAATACAAAGAAACGCCCTTCACTAGAAGACAGATCCTCTCATAATAATTGTTAACCTATATATATCATAATAAGTGGAATATATTGCTTTCAAAAGATCTTTCATTCTTTTTAAGCTTAATTACTTCACTTACTATAACAAAACTCCTTTGTGGGTTACACATGATTATGAGATATTAGTTACTACTTATAATTTCATTAGAATTACTGTTTGTATTTAAAATGTCTTTGCTTTCAGAGCCTTTAGATTTTGATTTTAACTGAAGTTAGTGTAAATTTTCTAATACTCAGATTTATATGAAAAAGCATACTGTTTTAAAGAAAATAAATTCCATTTTGTGTCAAATCAAGCTCATTTTGTTACTGCATAACAACTTTCTCTGAATTGCTGATTTTGTAATTTATCATCCATAAAAAGAACTTATTTTACTACGGAGGGGAAAAGAATATAAAATTGTTGGGACACACTGAGCAGCAGAAACCAGTTGTAAGTATACCCTGCACTACTTTGCCATAGCAACAGCTCCACCATGAGCTTACATTAGTATGTGGAAGAAGAGCATCCGGGCATTTAAATAAACATATTATTAAAAGGAAGATGTTCTACACCTCAGATTGCCAAAATAACAGGAGCAGCTTTAAATTGTAAAATTGCTCTTCACAATGTCTTCCTACAGCTGCCTTCCATTAAAATACACTTCTTTCCCTCAGTTCACGCTTAGTCCCTACCACAGTCCATGTTTTCAGGTTCAGTTACTCCATTCCAAAATGACAAATGCTAAACTCAATTCTTTTCCAGGTATTGTTAGCTTTGTATAATCTCTGACAAACATTTTATGTATTTAACAACACTCATATACTTTTCTAGACTAGTTAAGAGAACTACAGGGAGCCAGCGCTGTGGCGCAGCAGGTTAACTCCCTGGCCTGAAGCGCCAGCATCCTATCTGGGCGCCGGTTCTAGTCCCGGCTGCTCCTCTTCCGATCCAGCTCTCCGCTGTGGCCTGGGATAGCAGTAGAAGATGGCCCTAGTCCTTGGGCCCCTGCACCCATGTGAGAGACCCAGAAGAAGCTCCTGGCTCCTGGCTTCAGATCAGCGCAGCACCGGCCGTGCGGCCAACTGGGGAGTGAACGATCAGATGGAAGACTTCTCTCTCTCTGCCTCTTCTCTATCTGTGTACAATTCTGACTTTCAAATAAATAAATAAATCTTTAATCTAAAAAAAAAAGAGAGAGAGAGAGAGCTACAGCATTAAAGCTACAGTGAAGGAGTGGGCATTTGGCCTAGTGGTTAAAATGCCCACATTCCCTTCAGGGTACCTGGGGGCATGGTTCTCAGTTCTATCTCCTAACTCCAGCTTCATGCTAATGTAGACCCTGTGAGGCAGCAATGATGACTCAAGTGGTTGTGTTCCTGCCACCCACCTGGGCGATAAGGATTGTTTTCCTGGCTTGTGGCTCCTGGTTCCAGCCTGGCCCAGCCACAGCCATCACATGCATTTCAGGAATGAACCAGTGGGGAAACAGCACTCACTCACTCTCTTTCTCTGTCTCTGTCTCTGTCTCTCTCTCTCCCTGTTTTGCTCTGTCTCTGCTTCTCAAATAAACAAACAAGCTACAGTGTAGTGGATCTAAGAAAGCGTCATCGACAATCGTAATTCAGCACAACGTGATAAATACCACACTTAAAGTAAATACAAAATGCTAGGTAAACCTATCTTTCATTCTACGTGGAGAACAAGCCTTAGACCACAAGAAAACCAAGTAAAAAATAAGCTTACACAAGCTTCCAGAAAAGGTCTCTTAACTAAATACAATATAATACGTAGCCAGTGCCTAGACTACATATAAATTATGCCTGAAAACCAAATTAACATATTAGGAAGTATGCCTTGAAAACACAAAAATAAGAATTCAGGACTCTACTGATGGTAAGCCTTTAAGAGAGAGAAACTATAACCCAGAATCTTCTAGACATTTCACTTTGAGAATCTCTCCAATATAAAATTAAAAGTCACAGAGGTGGAAATATTTGAAGTCAAAATAAAAAGAAAATTAAAAAGAAATTCATAGAAAGATTTGAGATCAACTGCTTTTCATTAGTCATTTCTTTACTTTTGTCAAGCAAAAGTAACAAGAATGTGGAAAGCAACCTTATGAACATCAGAAAGAACTTCTCTTATACTCAACATCCTCAGATGAACATACAACTGGCTACTGAAACCCACTGGGTTGAAAAATAAAAGGATATAATGTGACTATGACTGTGACTTACGTTTTGAGTAAGAACCAGCGGGGAAGCTTATTAAAAGTATGGCTCAGTAACTTCTCAATCTGTACTTGAGAGGTTTAAAAACTAATATTCCAAACATGTCCAATAGCTCAAGATTATACACTGCTCTTCCCTCCCTCCTCTCCCCTATTCCATTCTCAAGGAAGAACCACTTGTGATACCATGCATTCAGTACAGAACAATCCAGGTTAGGTTAAGCCTCTGCCTACGGTGCCAGCATCCCATATGGGCACCTATTGGAGTCTCAGCTGCTCCACTTTCAATCCAACTACCTGCTGGTAGCCTGGGAAAGCAGTTGGAAACGGCTCCAGTTCTTGAGTCCCTGAACCCTTTTAGGAGACCTGGAGGAGGCTCCTGGGTCCTGGCTTCAGATCACCCCAGCTCCGACCATTGCAGTCATCTGGGGAGTGAAGAGCAGATGGAAGATTCTTTGTCTCCCTTTCTTTCTCTCTGTAACTCTGCCTCTCAAATGATAAATAAATCTTAAAAAATAAATAAAGTACATTACTGTCAAAAACAAAATCCTAGGGACAAAAAAAAGTTGGGCAGTTCTCTGTGGAAAACTCCCAGGGAAAAGCACACTCATTGGACAAAAGCATGAAAAACAAACAGTGCATTTCAGGGATGAAAAGAAAGAAAAATCTTTCTATAAAACACTATGCTGGGGGATGGCGCCATGGCACCGGCATCCCATATGGGCGCCTGTTCTAGTCCTGGTTGCTCCTCTTCTAGTCCAGCTCTCTGCTGTGGCCTGCGAAAGCAGTAGAGGATGGCCCAGGTTCTTGGGCTCCTGCACCCCCAACAAGACCCAGAGGAGGCTCCTGGCTCCTGCCTTCAGATTGGCACAGTTCTGGCAGTTGTGGCCATTTGGGGAGTGAACCAATGGAAGGAAGACCTTTCTCTCTGTCTCTCTCTTTCAAATAAATAAATAAATTTTTTTAAAAAAAGGTATGCTATCCTCCTTTCTAGCAGGCATGCTTGGTTGGAAATGGAACTAAAATAATTTCTGGACTATAATAGTTTCTGTGACCACATAATAAGATATAATTACATAACTTTACTTCCTCTAGAAAAGGAAAGCAAGAACACTGTTACAGATACTTCTCTGGTACCACATGGTACAGCACAAAACATTAGGATGAACAACACAAAAACCGCTATTTTGAAAGGTCACAAACAGTCAAATACAAAAGCACCAAACAACTGGAGAAAAGGAAGTCTTTTAAACAAATTGTGCTAAAACACCTAGTAAAGGGCTACCACATTCCAATAGTACATCTGCCTTACTTCCAGCAATTACCCACAAATGTCAATTCTATTTCCTAAATTTTAACTCTGTGCCCACCTAACTGTCCCCTTTAACACTGCTTAATAGATTGTCCACCTCATCAGAATTACTTCAATAGCTTCAAATCGCTCTCTTCGCCTTCAGACTATCCCATATCAACCTACTCTCCTATCAGCAACTAAGTGATCTTTTCACTCACAGTACTGCAGAGCTTAAATTTAGGAAGAATTCAAAACATTTCAATAAAATATTAACAGATTAATAAATATTAATAAATATTAACAGCCTTCCCTTTATACAAGCACCACAATTTTCACAATCAACCTTGCCTATGTCAAGTCACGTACATTGAGGCCAGCGTTGTGGCACAGTGGGTAAACCCTCAGCACACAATGCTAGCATCCTGTATGTGTACTAGTCCCGGCTGTTCCACTTCCAATCCAGCTCCCTGCTAACGCCCTGGGAAGCAGTGGAAGTTGGGCCAAGTGTTTGGGCCCCTGATAATCACGTGGGAAACCAAGATGAAGTTTCTAGCTCCTGGCTTCAGCCTAGCACAACCCCAGCTGCTGCAGCCATCTGGGGAGTGAACCAGCAGATGCAAGACATCTCTCTCTCTCTCCCTCTCCCTCTCTCTGCCTTTCAAATAAGTAAATAAATCTTTTTTTAAAAAAAATCACTTACATCATAAAACAGTTTTCTGTCAGCAGCCAGTCGTTTAGACGCCAGTGTCTTGGTAACATGATAGAAGGTGAGTAACGCTCTGTGCTGTCGGAGATCATCTTGGACTTTCACAGACTCGATAAGAGTGGGAATCAGTTCAGGCCACTGTCTAGGACAATCTAATCTAGCAACTTTTGCAATCAGCACTGCAATCTGGGTGGCAATCTAGAGGGGAAAAAATCAATCATCAGAAATAAACATAGGAAATGAAGGTAACAGAGAAAGAATGCTTTCATATTTAAGAACTGCATTAAATATAGTCAAAATTGTTAAACATGCCAATTTCTACTAAAATAATAATGTCACAAAATTGAAGAAGCAAATAAGGAAATTTCAACATCATCTTTTAAGAACACTGAGGCCAGGGCTGGTGTTTCAGCGTAGCAGGTAAGGCAGCTGCCTGCAGTTCCGGCATCCCTTACGGGCACCAGTTCAAGTCCAGGCTGCTCCACTTCCAATGCAGCTCTCTGCTGTGGCCTGGGAAAGCAGTAGAAGATGGCCCAAGTCCAGCGGCACTGTGGCGCAGCAAGTTAACACCTGGCCTAAAGCACCAGCATCCCATATGCACACCAGTTCGACGCCTGGCTGCTCCACTTCCAATCCAGCTCTCTGCTATGGCCTGGGAAAGCAGTGGAAGATGGCCCAAGTCCTTGGGTCCCTGCACCCACGTGGGAGACCTGGAAGAAGCTCCTGGCTCCTGGCTCTGGATTGGCACAGTTCTGGCCATTGTGGCCAATTGGGGAGTGAACCATCAGATGGAAGACCTTTCTTTCTCTCTCTCTCTCTCTCTCTCTGCCTCTCCTCTCTCTAACTCTTTCAAATAAATAAATAAATCTTAAAAAAAAAAAAGAACTCAAAAATATACAGGCAATATAAATCATTAAAATTGATTTCTATGCAGTAAGAATACAAATTCATAAAAAGATTTGCTTTCAAATGTTGGCTCAAAAACTATGAAAGCTAAAAAGTATAAAAGTATACTTTATAATGACTTCTGAGTTTTAAATCACACATAGTGAAATCTAACCAAAATTCTTAATGGCTACAATTAGATTCAAAATAAAAAGACCAACAGAGAAATGTATATAAACATCACAAATAAAAAGAACTAAAACTTCTTCTTTTGGAAGAAGTAAAAGCTAAAAAAAAAAAAGAAAAATCAGCATTCATGTTCTCACTCACCTGGTTTATTGGTTCATTGAAGTTGGTGATTAGCCCTGCACGCAATGTCGATTTCTCTTCCTCAGAGAGCGCACTATAAAAAGAAAAATTTATTATGCAAGAGAATGCCACCTAATAATGAATCCAAGTAAGCACTACTGTGAATTTTAACAATAAAAAGTCTTTTAATCATGCGTCCCTGGCTGGTTTTGGTAAATACACAGAACTACTTCCATTTCCTCTATATTGGCTCACTGAGTAAGTAATTCCTTCACAAAACAATAGGAAGCACAACACAAGAAATAATAAGAAGATAAATTCAAGTTAATTAATATAATATCTTGATGTACATTTTTACTGATGTCAAAAGCTATCTAGAAAAAAATCAATTGGTTAAAAAAATAAATCTATGTGAGTAAATATTGTCCTTCCATTGAATTCTTTTATGAAATCTGAGGTGATTTTATGTCAAGAGGGATTACAGAACATTTAGAACCTATATGAAGACATATAGGACCGGCATTATGGAGTAGCAGGTAAGGACACTGCCTGCAATGCCAGCACCCCATCTGGGCACTGGTTCAATACCTGCTGCTCCACTTTCCATCCAACTCCCTGCTAATGTGCCTGAGAAAGCAACTAAGAATGGCTCAAGTGCTTGGGCCCCAGCAGCCACATGGGAGACCTAGAAGAAGCTCCTGGCTTCCAACCGGCCCAGCTCCAGCAGCTGGGGCCATCTGGGGAGTGAATCAGTGAATGGAAGATATCTCTGTGCATGTCTGTGTGTCTGTGTGTCTCCCTCTTTCTCTCTGTAAACTCTACCTGTCAAATAAATAAATAGGGTAGGAGGGACGGTATGGGGGGGGGGAAGCCATTGTAACCCATGAGTCGTACTTTGGAAATTTATATTCATTAAATAAAAGATAAAAATAAATAAATAAATAAATAAATAAATCTTTTAAAACACTGAAGACATATTAGAAATCAACTAAAAATAAATAAATAAATAAATAAATAAACCAAAAAGTGTCTCCACAAATGCCAAAAAATAAATGCAGCAATTCAAGAAACAGGAATAAGGAAGTCAACATGATGCCCCCAAAAGGACATAACACTTTAATGCTAGAATGTGAAGATGAAGAGATTAAAGAAATGCCAGAAACAGAATTCAAAAATTTGATCATAGGATTACTTAGAAATAAGCAAATTCATGAACTAATGAAATCGTACATGACATAAAAGAAGATGTCTCCCATGAAATTGAGACCTTAAAGATAAATTGAAATGAAGTCTTGGAAATGAAGAATTCAACAGAACAAATAAAAAATGCAGTGGAAAGACTTAACAACAGAATTGGTGAAGCAAAAGAAAGAACATCCCAGTTAGAATACAAACTGCTGGCCAGCACCGCAGCTCACGAGACTAATCCTCCACCTGCGGTGCCGGTACCCCAGGTTCTAGTCCCAGTTGGGGCACCTGATTCTGTCCCAGTTGCTCCTCTTCCAGTCCAGCTCTCTGTTGTGGCCCAAAAAGGCAGTGGAGGATGGCCCAAGTGCTTGGGCCCTGCACCCATATGGGAGACCAGGAAGAAGCACCTGGCTCCTGGCTTCGGATCAGCACAGTGCACCAGCCGTAGCGGCCACTTGGGGGGGGGTGAACCAACGGAAGGAAGACCTTTCTCTCTATCTCTCTCACTGTCTAACTCTGCCTGCCAAAAAAAAAAAAAAAAAAGAATACAAATTGCTGGAAATTTATAGTCAAACCAGAAAAAAAGAAATTAGAAATTTCTAAAAATTACTAAAAAACCGTATTGGGAGATTTATGGGACACACTCCAACGACCCGGCATATGGGTCTTAGGAGTTCCTGTAGTCATGGAGAGAAAATGGATTAGAAGGCCTTTTTAGTGAAATTCTTACAGAAAACTTCCCTAATTTGGAGAAAGAAAGAGACATCCAAATACAGGAAGCACACAGAACTCCTAATAGACATGACCACGAAATATCTTCACCACAACAATTTGTAGTCAAACACTCCATAGTAAAACATAAAGAAAAGATTCTAAAATGTGCACAAGACAAACACCAGATTACACTGAGGATCTCCAATAAAAGTCACAGCAGAATTCTCATCAGAAACCCTACAAGTTAGGAGAAAATGGCGAGATATAGTTCAAGTCTTAAGAGAAAAGAACTGTCAACTCAGAATACTATACCTGTAAAATGCTCACTTATGAACGAAGGTGAAATAAAGACCTTCCATGACAAACAGAAATTGAGAATTTGTTACCACCCATTCAGCCTTGCAGAAGATGCTTAAGGATTTGCTGCACACAGAAACACAGTCATTGCTACAAAGAAGGTAAAAGAAGGAAATCTCCCAGTAAAAGTACAAAGGAAATCCAAAAGTAAAAAATAGGAATATTTATGGAAAAACGGCAGGGCCAAGTCCTTAACTTATCAAGTCACTTTGAATGTAAATGGCATCAACTCTCCAGTTAAAAGGCACAGACTGGCTGAATGGATTAAAAAACAAAACCCATCTATTTGCAGCCAACAAGAAACACATCTCAACAACAAAGAAGCACACAGACTTAAAGTGAAAAGATGAAAAAAGACATTCCATGCCAAAGAACCAAAAAAGAGCTGGTGTAGCCAGACAAAATAGACTTTAATACAAAAACTATTAAAAGAGACACAGAGGGCACTTTTAAGGTATCAATTCAACAGGAAGATATATCTGTTATAAACATATATGCACCCAATTACAGGGCACCTGGGTAATTAAGAAATGTTAAGAGATCTAAAGGGAGACATAGAGTCAAAAACAATAGTAACCGAAGATTTAAATACCCCACTTTCAGCAATGGACAGATAGACCAGACAGAAAATCAGAGTTAATTGACACTACAGAGCAAAAAAAATTGAAATCATACATGCATCTTATCAGACAACGATGCAAGAAGCTGGAAATTAACTACTTAGGAATCTCTAGAACACATGCAAACACATGGAGATAAAACAACATGCTCCTTAATGAACAGTGGGTCATTGAAAAAATCAAAAGAGAAATAAAAAAATTTCTGGAAACAAATGAAGATGACAATACAACATATCAAAACTTAAGAGATACAGTAAAAGCAGTGTTAAGAGGAAAGTTTATAGGAATTGGTGACTATATCAAGAAATTGGAAAAGTACCAAATAAATGAGCTATCAATGCATTTCAAGGAACTAGAAAAATAACAGCAAACCAAACTCAAAACTAGTAGGAGAAAATAAATAATCAAGAAATCAACAAAATTAAAACAACAAAAACAATACAAAATGTCAGCAAAATGAAGAACTGGTGTTTTGAAAAATAAACAAAATTGACACACTTTTGGCCCAACTAACCAAAAAAAGGGAGAGAGAAGAACAAAATCAATAAAATTAGACATGAAAAAGACAATGTAACAAAAGACACCACGGAAATAAAAAGAATCATCAGAAATTACTGCAAAGAGCTGTATGCTAAAAAACTGGGAAACCTAGAAGAAATGGATAGATTTCTAGACACATACAACCTACGTAAATTGAGCCATGAAGACACAGAAAACCTAAACAGATCAATTACCAAGACAGAAATTCAATCAGTAATAAAGACCCTCCCAACAAAGAAAAGCTCAGGACCAGATGGCTTCACTAAAGAATTCTACGGAACATTTACAGAAGACATTTATAAACATTTAACTCCCATTCTTCTCAAGTTATTCAAAACAACTGAAAGGGAGGGAATCTTCCCAAATTCTTTATATGAAGCCAGCACCACCTTAATTCCTAAAACTGAAAAAGATGCAACTGAGAAAGGGAACTACAGAACATAGATGCAAAAATCCTCAACAAAATTCTGGACAATCAAATCCAACAACGTATCAGAAAAATCATCCACATAGATCAAGTGGGATTTATCCCTGGTATGCAGGGATGGTTCAAAATTCCCAAGCCAATCAGTGTGATAAATCACATTAACAAACTGAGCAAAAACCATATGATTATCTCAATAGATGCAGAGAAAGCATTTAATAAAATACAACACCTTTTCATGATGAAAACTCTAAGCAAATTGAGTATAAAAGGAACATTCCTCACCACAATCAAGGTAATTGATGACAGTCCCACAGCCAGCATCCTATTGAATGGGGAAAAGCTGGAAGCATTCCCTCTGAGATCCAGACCCAGACAAGGATGGCCACACTCACCACAGCTATTCAATATAGTCCTGGATGTTTTAACTGGAGCCATTAGGCAAAAAAAAAGAAATCAAAGGGATTCAAACTAGCAAAGAGGAAGTCAAACTATCCCTATTTGCAGAAGACATGATTCTATGCATAGGAGATCCAAAAGACTCCACCAAGAGGCTATTGGAACTCAAAGAGTTTGGTAAAGTAGCAGGATACAAAATCAACACACAAAAATCAACAGCCTTTGTACACACAGACAATGCCATGGCTGAGAAAGAACTTCTAAGATCAATCCACTCAAAGAACAGGTCTTCAAAGAAGGAGGTACCTTTCTCTGAAGGGAAGAGAGAACCTCCACTTTGACTATGACCTTGTCTAAACAAGATAAGAGTCGGAGAACTCAGAGGGCTTCCATAGCCTTGGGAACTCATGACTGGTGCATAGGGACATCACTGATGCCATAAACAGGAGTGTCAATTTGTAAAGTCAACAACAGGAGTCACTGTGCACTTACTCCTCATGTAGGATCTCTGTCCTTAATGTGCTGTGCATTGAGATTTAATGCTATAACAAGTACTCAAACAGTATATTTCACTTTATGTTTCTATAGGGGTGCAAACTGTTGAAATCTTTACTTAATGTATACTAAACTGATCTTCTGTAAAAAAAAAAAAAAAAAATTATCAATTCCCAACTTGACTCTCACTGGGATTAAACATGACAATAGGTCTGATCTGATTTCATCATCATTTAAAAGATCATCTATTATTTTTCACTTTATGTTTCTGTGTGGGAGCAAACTGTTGAAATCTTTACTTAATGTATGCTAAACTGATCTTCTGTATATAAAGAGAATCAAAAATGAATCCTCATGTGAATGGTAGGGGAGAGGGAGTGGGAAAGGGGAGGGTTGCAGGTGGGAGGGACGTTATGGGGGGAAGCCATTGTAATCCATAAGCTGTACTTTGGAAATTTATATTCATTAAATAAAAGTTAAAAAAAAAAAAAAAGATGAATCTACTCACAATAGCTACAAAAAAATCAAATACCTTTGAATACATTTAACCAAGGACCTCTACAATGAGAATTACAAAACATTAAAGAAATAGAAGATACATGGGGCCAATCATTTGCAACAAAATAGATAAACCTGGAAAACATCATACTTAGTGAAATAAGCCAGTCCCAAAGGGACAAATACCATATGCTCTCCCTGATCTGCAAGAATGAAAAGAGCACCTAAAATGAAATTTGTAGAAGTGAAATTGACACTTTGAGAAGCAGCGACTCGATCAGCCCTTGTCTTGACTGTCGAGCAACAGTTTTGTTGAACTCTTTACTTAACAGAGAGTTAATTATATGTAAAAAAAAAAAAAAGTGAATTGAAAATAGATCTCAGTATAAAATAAGAGTGGGAATAAGAGAGGGAGGAGGAAGTTTGTAACTGTAAAGCTGTATAGTTCTGCATACATTTTTCCTACAGACTTACTTCTAAGGGTACAGTTTAAAAACTTGCTAAAGGACCCCAAATCCCATTAACTTGGGTGGTAAAATGCCATCTTAAGTGTTAAAATGATCATATTAAGTGTTAAAGTGATTATATAGATAGGATTAAGTGTTAAATGGATCATATAAATAAGATCAAGTCTCTGGTAATACTAATAAATAGAATTAAAAAAGAGAGAATGTTCCAAGATGGGAAGCAGTCCACACAGCCAACTCATAGAATGACAATCACTTTAAACAGCACTCTGGCCAGTGCCGTGGCTCACTTGGCTAATTCTCCGCCTGCGGCGCTGGCACCATGGGTGCTAGTCCCAGTCCGGGCGCCAGATTCTGTCCCGGTTGCTCTTCTTCCAGGCCAGCTCTCTGCTGTGGCCCAGAAAGGTAGTGCAGGAAGGCCCAAGTGCTTGGGCCCTGCAACCGCATGGGAGACCAGAAGGAAGCACCTGGCTCCTGGCTTCGGATCAACAAGGCGCGCTGACCGTGGCGGCCATTTTGGGGGTGAACCAATGGAAAAAGGAAGACCTTTCTCTCTGTCTCTCTCTCTAACTCAGCCTGTCAAAAAAAAAAAAAAAAAATAGCACTCTGACCTCAGAATCAGCCCTTAAAGGCATTCTGGTCAGCTGGCACCATGGCTCACTAGGCTAATCCTCTGCCTGCGGCAGCAGTACCCTGGATTCTGTCCCGGTTGCTCCACTTCCAGTCCAGCTCTCTGCTGTGGCCCAGAAAGGCAGTGGAGGATGGCCCAAGTTCTTGGGCCCTGCACTTGCATGGGAGACCAGAAGGAAGCACCTGGCTCCTGGCTTTGGATCGGCAGAACACACTGTCCATAGCGGCCATTTGGGGGGTGAACCAACGGAAGGAAGACCTTTCTCTCTGTCTCTCTCTGTCTAATTCTGCCTGTCAAAAAAAAAAAAAAAAAAAAAAAGGTATTCTGGTCTAGCTGAAAAGCAATTCAAACATTGCAGGCATGGAAAGCCAAGACATTGTAAAAAAAAAATTTCCTTCATGAAGGATCTCTGTTAGTGAGACCCCAGTGGAATGAAGTGGCCATCAAAGAAGGACATACTTGGGGCTAGTGTCATGGTGTAGCAGATTAAACCGCTGCCTGCAGTGCTGGCATCCCATATGGATGGTGGTTCAAGACTCGCTGCTCTATCTCTGCTCCAGCTCTCTGGTATGGCCTGAAAAAGCAGTAGAAGATGGCCCAAGTCCTTGCACCCACGTGGGAGACCCAGAAGAAGTTCCTTGCTCCTGGCTTCAGATTGGCCCAGCTCCAGCCATTGTGGCCAATTGTGTAATAAAACAACAGATGGAAGACCTCTCTCTCTCTCTCTGCCTCTCCTTCTCTCTCTTTGTAACTCTGACTTTCAAATAAAGAAAAAAAGAAATCTTAAAAAAAATAAATAAATAAGGATGTACTTTTCTCGGAAGCGAGGAGAGAACTTCCACTTTGCTTATGGCCTTATATAAATACTGACAGAGACTATAAATTCAAAGAAGCCTCAGGTGATCACTGACATCATACATAAGAGTGTTAATTGTTAAATTAACGACAGGAGTCACTGTGCACTTCCCATGCAGGACCTCTGTCCTCAATTAGTTGTATTATGAGAATTAACTATAAAAGTTGTTGCTAAACAGTTTGTCTGTGTGTGTGTGCTTGTGTGCAAATTGTTGAAATCTTTACTTAGTATCGAGTCAGTCTTCTGTGTATAAAGTTAATTGAAAATGAATCTTAATGGAGAATGAGATTGGGAATAGGACAGGGAGGAGGAGGAGGTGGGGTGGGAGTGGGGGTGAGAGGGTAAATATGGTGGTAAGAATCACTATATTTCTTAAGCTGTACTTACGAAATCTGTACTCATTAAATAAAAGGTTTCTTTCAGGGAAAAAAATAAATACAAGGAGAAAAGCAGGTGTATTTAAAAAAACAATAACGATTAGCTACCAAGAGATATATATAAATATATACATGTTAAAGAAACAAGTCACTAATATAAAGAAAACGCATGCCTTTCACAATTTAGCAAGTTAACATTCTACCTTTGATTTTATGCATGTTATCATTAGACAAATCCATTTCAAGGAGAAACTATACAGAATCTAATTATTTAGCACACAGTTAAACTGTATCTTACATAATAATGATGGAAGCTTAAGTTAGCTAATTCACATCCTATGAAAACAATGGTAAAGCAAGAACTATGTAAGTTAAAATTTAAGTAAGAACCAAGAAGATTTTTAAGTATCTCAAACATAAATTAAATTCCATTAGTAACCTGCCATCCATACTTCCTTTCTAAGTACATTCACCTTCTTTCCAGCTTTTAACACCATATATACTAAAAGAGAAAGCTCAGTATCTGAGATTTAACTACCTAATATGACGATTTATCCATTAATTATTCAAATTTAAACTATATTCCAGCTTATAACTCTTTATTTAAAAGCATAATCTGGGGCCGGCACTGTGGCAAAGCAGGTAAAGCCACAGCCTGCAGTGCAGGTTTGGGTCCTAGTTGCACCACTTCCAATCCAGCTTTCTGTTATGGCCTGGGAAAGCAGTAGAAGACGGCCCAAGTCCTTGGGGCCCTGCATCCACATGGGAAACCCGTAAGAAGCTCCTGACTCCCGGCCCCTGGCTCTCGGCTTCGGATCGACCCAGCTCTGGCCACTGCAACCATTTGGGGAGTGATGGAAGACTCACACACACACACACACACACACACACTCTCACTCTCTCTCTCTCTCTCTCTCTCTCTCTCAGTGGATGGAAGACCTCTCTCTCTCTCTCTCTCTGCCTCTCATTCTCTCTCTATGTAACTCTTTCAAATAAATAAATCTTTTAAAAAAGTATAATTTAAAACATTTAATTAAAATAATAACAATTTTTAGAGTATTTTAAGAGCCCACAACTGCTGAGGCTTGGGAAAAGTTAAAGCCAGGAGTCAGGAACTTAATCCAGATTTCCCTTCATAATAATTTACTCTTCCTTCAAAAATCATTTATAACTATATTTTTCATGTAATTAGTAAAATGAAATGAACTTTAAGAAACATGGAATTGATCAGAGCAGTGGAAAATTTGTACTGCGTACTGCTGGACAATTTCTTACAATTCAATAATGTACAATTTCTCATCACTAACTACTTCATTTCTGCCAAAATTATCAATAATTCTACAAATAAAATGAGAAGGGCTTGCTTTGTACTAAAGTACCCTAAATGTAGCTTTGAAATATGCTAGTTGTTTCCACTATTAATCAAAGACATCTTTTACAAACACTGTACAGTACTCTCTCAAGATTTTTTTTTTGAAGCTTTATGAATGTAAGAACTCGCAGAACCACAGTGCCATCTTCTGGGGAACAAAGATTATGTTACTTCTCTGGCAAAGTTCACTATTCAAATTCCAGGATCTTATCTACCCTGTCATCAATTATGTAACATGTAATTAACTATTATTATACTATGAGAAAATTGCACAACATGTATGTGTGTGTGTGTATGTGTGTGTGTGTGTGTATATATATATATATATATATATATCTTTTGGTAGCTAATAACTGCAAAGCAGTTACTACCAAATCTAATGAGATTACAAATGCATACAAACTACTCCACCAAAGAGGCATGAATGCAGAAGGCTCAGGAATTATAACCCAGCTCATTCAGAAATGACCTGGGATTTCCTTTTCCATGGCTTTTTTCAAAATATTAACCATATACTTGTTCTAAACTAAAGGAAAAAAGGCCTTCTATTTCAATATTACTCATTCACTCATCAAGACCCTTCCAACAGGCAACAAAAGACATACAAATACACACACATACAACACATACACACACACACATACACATACACACCATGGAGAAAAACAATACAGCTGTTGATTGGTAATTAACTATATAATTTTTTTTATTTTGTTTTTCTTTCTAAACATCAAATGCTGTGCAGATTCCCCACGAAATTCTATGTCATCCTTGCACAAGCACCATACTACAGCACTTTCCCTGTATTGTTTCAAGAAATGCACGTATGTGCTGCCAAAGTAAGCAGTAACATATTCTTTTATATTAACAGGTACATTTCCATCTTGCATTTCAAAAGGGTTACGGGGGGGGGGGGGGGGGGCACAAAAGAACTTACTGAGGTGCTACACGTCTCCAGTAGCGATCGATTCCATGTTTAAAATACAGAACAGCAAGCCACCTAACATTTATATCCAGAGTGTGGTTTGTAAAAATATGCTGTAAATAAAATATACAGTATTAGAATCAAAACACAGTAAGTTAAAAGTATAATTAGTACTTACCTATAAAAATGTATAGATATTTTAGTTAAATGTTTTTGTTTAAATTTTACTAATATGTCACATTCTTACTTTCTAAATTATGTATATAGTTCTACAATTCAAATAAGAAAGCGTACCTGCTCAGTAGTCTATTAATTGTTTAAGCTGTGCTGTAATGGACAATGGGAGTGAGATTCATTACACTATCCTACTTTTAGTTATTTCTGAAAATTTCTCCAGTCAAAAAGTAAACTTGGAAACAAGCAAACTTGACTTTATTTCAAATGAAAATCATCTTTATCAATATACAAAACAAACACATTATAAATTTCTATTTTTTTAAAAGTTGGTTTTATTTATTTGAAAGGCAGACTGAGAGAGGAAGAGAGAGGTCTTCCATCCACTAGTTAACTCCCCAACTGGCTACAACAGCCAGGGCTGGGCCAGGTTGAAGCCAGGAGCCAGGAACTTCTTCCTGGTCTCCCACATGGGTGCAGGGGCCCAAGCACTTGGGCCTTCTTCCACTGCCTTCCCAAGCACATTACCAGGGAGCTGGATCAGAAGTGGAGCAGCTGGGACTCAAAACGGCACCCATCTGGGATGCTGAGGCTGCAAGCAGCAGCTTAACCTGCTACGCCACAATGCTCGGTCCCATACCATAAATTTAAAAAGCAGACTCACCATGGGGTACACAAAGATGTTAAAGGAAGTAGAGCCCCTAGGTTACACATGCTATAAAATATAAAGGTCTTCAAAAAGTTCATGGAAAAATTGAATTAAAAGCTGTTTATTTTGATTTAAAAATTTTTGACATCCACACATAGTTGTTTCATAATAACCCCTTTTACATGAATTTCTTAAAGACCCCTTACAAACACTATTGTCCGTATCAAAACAAATATGCTTACAAACAAGTTTGACAGCAGAACATTTTTGGGTGATAAAAAACCAGATGGAGGACAGCACAGTGGCACCTAGTATATTAAAGGCCTGGCCTGCAGTGCTGGCATCCCTTATGGGCACCAGCTCGAGTCCCAGCTGCTCCACTTCCGATCCAGCTCACTGCTAATGCACCTGGGAAGGCAGCAGAGGATGGCCCAAATCTTTGGGTCTCTGCACCCACGTGGGAGATCTGTAGGAAGCTCCTAGCTCCTGGCTTCAGCTCAGCTCAGCTCCACCGTTGCAGCAGTTGGGGAGTGAACCAGCAGATGGAAGACCACTCTCTCTCTCTCTGTCTCTACCTCTGTAACTCTTTCAAATAAATAAAAATAAATCTTAAGAAAAAAACAGGTGGAATATGAATAAAAATTTCAACTCAGAACTGACCATTATTCAAACCTATTCACTGTTACTCCCAACAGTAACAGTATTCCATATAGCCCCCATCTTGCACAGTAAGATACCATAAAAATAACTGTACAAGCTAAATTGCAAAAATCTTAATAATCAAGGGGAAAATTACTTTTGCTTCATACCTTTAAAAATTTTAGTCCAAACATGAAAACAATCCTACTGTCAAGCTTAAACATACAGGAGAATGAAAATAGTAAAACTAATATTTTGTAATTTAAAACATTACAAATATTGAGAATGTGTTTTATTTATTTGTAAGAAAATCTTTTTTTTTGTGTGTGTGTGTGACAGGCAGAGTGGACAGTGAGAGAGAGAGACAGAGAGAAAGGTCTTCCTTTGCTGTTGGTTCACACTCCAATGGCCGCCACGGCCGGCGCACTGCGCTGATCCGATGGCAGGAGCCAGGTGCTTCTCCTGGTCTCCCATGGGGTGCAGGGCCCAAGCACCTGGGCCATCCTCCACTGCACTCCCTGGCCACAGCAGAGAGCTGGCCTGGAAGAGGGGCAACCGGGACAGAATCCAGCGCCCCGACCGGGACTAGAAACCGGTGTGCCGGCGCCGCTAGGTGGAGGATTAGCCTAGTGAGCCGCGGCGCCGGCCATTTGTAAGAAAATCTTACCTAGAAGAGCTGATGCTTATGACAAACATAGGAACGTGTTAGGTACTCAGTAAATACTGCCTGAAACTGCACTAAAGCTCAGACCAGAAACAACTCAAATCCTCAAAGATGATAAAAAAAAAAAAAACCAACCCTAGGTGGGAAATATGTTCCCGGGTATGGAAAAATATTTACGTGTTAAGTATTAAAAACAGATTAAGTATAACAAAATCTCTTTTTGAGATAAGCACGTATATACATACAAAAATGATTGCATTAAGAGTTGTGTAACTTTCACTTCTTCCTTAAGACTCCTGGCAACTGAGTCAGAGCCCCCTTTTCTGGGTCTCCATTGTAAAAAAAAATAATGCACTTCTTTTACCATTAGTCACCTTCAACTTTGATACAAGTCTACTTTCAGCACTAAACTGGAGTCTGCTCTTGCAGAAACCTCCTAAATATCTGCTGAGCAAACGGTGAATGAATAGGAATACGGAGGAAGCTGGCGGGTCTCTCCCTCAGTCTGCCTCAGTTACACCAGAGAAACCAAGCCACGATGCAGTTGTCAACCCAAATACTCCATAAGAACTGCACATAGCAACAGGACTGCAACAGAAACCTGAGATTGGGTATACAAATTTAGGAGTCTCCAGATTAAAATGGACAGCCAGGGCTAAAATAAATGAGATGCACGGGTAGGTGTTTGGCCTGGTGGTTCGCTTGAGAAGCCTGCATCCCCTACTGGAGTCCCTGCATTCAAGTCCAAGATCCACTTCTGAGTTCAGCTTCCTGCTAACGCATACGCTGAGGAGCAGCAGGTGATGGCTCAAACTTGGATCCCTACCACCCATGCAGGAAACACAGGCAGAGTTTATGACTTTTGGTTCCAGCCTGACCCATCCCTACCCATGACAGGCACTTGTGTAGGCCGTCCATATCTCTTTGATTTCTTTTTTTAAATTTATTTATTTGCATGATTCTAAACATTTAATTTCTAAACATTTAAATTCCTTGCAGTCATAACTAGCATCTTCTTAAATTTAACAAATCACTTTTTAGCCAAAAACACTATATATGTGTGTGTGTATGTGTGTGTGTTTGTGTTATATATGGCAATTGCTATAGGTTATTTTGTATTACAAAATACAGTAAACATAGGGCCGGCACTGTGGCGTAGTGGGTAAAGCCACTGCCTGCCATGCCAGCATCCCATATGGGTGGTGGTTCGAGTCCCGGCTGCTCCACTTCCAATCCAGCTCTCTGCTATGGCCTGGGAAAGCACTAGAAGATGGCCTAAGTCCTTGGGACCCTGCACCCATGTGGGAGACCTGAAAGAAGCTCCTGGTTCCTGGCTTCGGATCAGCACAGCTCCATCCATTGCAGCCAGTTGAGGAATGAATCAGCAGTTGGAAGACACCCCCCCCTCTCTGTCTCTACTTCTTTCTCTGTGTAACTGACTTTCAAAAAATTAGTAAATCTTTAAAAAAAAATACAGTAAACAATTTTGTTCTGAATTGTTACCCAGTCACAAACACTAGCTTAGTTTCTGACCCAACTGGCAGGCTCATTGCCTTGACCAGAAACTAAAACTCAAACACTAATCAGAGTTATCAATTTTTCAGAAGAATAGGAAAGGCCCTCAACACAAAAAGACTTCTTTCAGGCCAGGATTATGGCTCATGGGATTAAGTCGCCACCTGCAATGCAGACATCCCATATGGGTGCCAGTTTCAGTCCCATCTGCTTCATTTCTGATTCAATTCTCTACTAATGCACCTGGGAAAGCAGTGGGAGACCCTGGTAGAGTCCCAGGCTCCCAGCTTCGGCCTGGCCCGGCCTTAACCATTGTGGTCATGTGGAGAATGAATCAGTGGAGGGAGGATCTCTGTCTTTCCCTTTCTCTCTGTAACTGTGCCTTTCAAACAATTAAATCTTCAAATAAAAGACTTTTTTCACTCTAGCACTAAGAAAATAATGTTGATTAACCAAAATATTGAAACTCCAAGAAAAGTTTTGTTAAAGCAGACATTGTTATGATACTATTTCCCATAACACCCAGGAAAAGATCAGATGTGTCAAGAAAATGAAATTAAGTGAAAAATTAAAACATTCTTAAGTGAAATACACTAAGTATGCTATACTTCACTCTGACACTGTCATGCATGGATCTAAACATTTCCGGCCATATAAACTAATCAGAGTAGGCTGAAGACAAAATATTCGAGGGTACTACCTGTAGTTCTGATGTCAACATTCAAGTGCTAAAATTGAAAACTGTCAATATTGCCCTCTCAGCAGATACCACAAGTAACCTGCTAGATTATTTAAACTTCTACCAGCAAATATTTTTAAACATCCTGAAACGGCTATCCCTTAATTTAGGGATATTAATTTATATGAAAAGGAAAGTGGTAGTGCCAGCCAGACATTAAAGTCAACCACAAATAAAACCACTTTTTTTAAATTAAAATGTCTTATTTTATTAAAAATAAAAGTAAACTTATTATAGAACAACTTACCAGCAACACTGAATAGAAACCTGGCTGTGTCTCCCACTGTTTCAACTGCTCCTCAGCTGGTTTTAACACAGCAGTATCCTGACTGGTGGCCTGTGTTAAGACCTGAAGAACAACAGTGCTGGCACTATTAAGATCCATGGAAACCTGGCAAGGAGAAGTTAATGTACTTGAATACACATTTCACATAGTAAAACATTGACAGTAACATAATTGGAGGACAAAATACTTCATTCTTAAGATTTTATTTATTTATTTGAAAGTCAGAAATACAGAGGGAGAAGGAGAAGGAGAGAAGAGAAATCTTCCATCCACTGGTTTACTCCCCAAATGGCTGCAACAGCCAGCATTGGACCAGGCCGAATCCAGGGGCCAGTTCATCCGGTCTCCCAAGAGGGTGGCCAGGAAGCAAACACTGGGGCCATCTTCCAGCTTTTCCCAGGCTATTAGCAGGGAACTGGAACAGAAGTGAAGCAGTCAGGACTCAAACCAGTGCCCATATGGGATGCCAGGAGTGTTACAAGCAGTGGTCTCCACTATGCCACAATGCCAACCTCACTCCTGTATTTTTTATGTACATTCTTTATTAATATAAAGATAACAAATTTAATGTAGTCCATGGATACAATTCCAAGAATATGATATTTCCCTTCCTTCCTTTATGAGAGGATATATTTTTAATTTATTTTATAATCAAAAGCTTAATATTCCATTAAATAAATAGTTCAACAAAATGAAAGTAAAAAGACCACTATTCAGCAGGAATAGAGACAAGGGCTATAAGCAAATCAAAAGATGTCAATTTCACTCATATACAGTAATTTTTTTTATATTCTGTATAAGTACCTCAACTCACAGAAAAATCCTTATCTTCTCTATCATTTTAGTGTATGTGCTGCCAAAGCCAAGCACAAGTTACTCCTATACTTTAATCATTCACCTTCACCTTCATGTTTCTGCCTGACTTCCATATACTATCCAAATTCTTACTTATAATTCAAATCACTTTCACTTATTTCAATTTATTCGTAAAGAAAACTGTCTTTCACTGTTTCACAAACAGAAGACAAGAGGAAATTAGGATTAGGAGTACATAAAACCCAAACTTCTTAAATCCTGATTAAACACCCTTGCTGCCCAAGATTCTGAGCATAACTGTCTTCTGTTTTAAAAATGGGGTGGGCAATTGGCCTCCAGTTACCAGGCCACTCGGACATCCATATTCTGTATCGAGTGCTCTGGTTCAAGTTCTGGCTGTCCTCCAGATTCCAGCTTCTTGCTAATGTGCATCCTGGGAGACAGCAGGCGATGGCTCAACTACTTGGATCCCTGTAACCCATATGAGATACCCAGATGGAGCTATGGGCTCCTGGCTTCAACCTGGCTCAGCCCTGGCTCTTGCAGGCATTTGGGGAGCAAAAAAGTAGATGAAAGAACTCTTGCTCTCTCTTTCTCTGCCTCTCAAAAAAATTATTTAAAGGTAGTATGTTTCTCTCTCTAGCTGAAATGTAATGTATGCTGGGAGCTGGCACTGTGGTTCAATAGGCTAAGCCTCTGCCTGCAGCACCAGTATAACCTATGGGCGCTGGTTCATGTCCTGGCTGCTCCTCTTCTGATCCAGCTCTCTGATATGGCCTGGGAAAGCAGTAGAAGGCGGCCCAAGGGCTTTAGCCCCTGCAACCATGTGGGAGACCTGAAGTAAGCGCCTGGCTTCAGATCAGCTCAGCTGGGCCATTGCAGATGTTCAGGGAGTGAACCAACAGATGGAAGACCTTTCTGTCTCTCTAACTCTCAAATAAATAACTCTACCATTCAAATAAATAAATAAATCTATTTTTTTAAATGTATGCTATAAAAGCAAGTCATGGATGTCATTTTACATTTTCTAGTAGCCAGTTAGGTAGTAAAAAGAAACAGAAGACAATTATGCTATATTTAACTTTTTAAAAGATTTACTGGGGCCTATGCTGTGGTAATAGGAGGCTAAGCCTCCACCTGCAGCATCAGCATCCCATATGGACACTGGTTCATGTCCCAGCTGCTACTCTTCTGATACAATTTTCTGTCTATGGCCTGGGAAGGCAGTGGAAGATGGCCCAAGCACTATGGCCCCTCAGCCATATGAGAGACCTGGAAGAAGCCCCTGACTCCTGGCTTCAGATCAGCCAAGCTCGGCCATTGTGACCACCTGAGGAGTGAACCAGAGGATGGATGACCTTTCTCTCTGCCTCCCAAATAAAAATCAGAGAGAGAGAGAGAGAGACCCTTAATTTGTTAAAAAAAAAAAAAAAAAAAAAAAAACACGATTATTTATTTGAAAGTCAGAGTTTCAGAGAGAGAGAGAGATATCTTCATCCATTGGTTCACTCTTGCAACAGCTGAGACTGGGTCAGGCTAAAGCTAGGAGCCAGGAGCTCCCAGGTGAGTAGCAGGGGACCAAATACTAGGGCCATCTTCCACTGCTACTCCCAAGGCATTGGCAGGGAGCTGGATCAGAGGTGGAACAGTTGGGACACAACCAGTGCCCACACGGGATGTCAGTGTTGTAGGCAAAAGCTTTACCCACCATATAACAATGCCAGCCTAATATATTTAATATTTCCAAAATGTTAACATTTTAACATGCAATCAACACTTTTAAAATACTAAGAGATATTTTCCATATGTTTTTATATTAAAACTCCAAAATCCTGTGTCCAGTTTACACTTAGAGCATATCTCATTTCAGAAACCACTGTGGCAGTGGCTGCCACATGTCTAGAGGAGCCCTCCTCAGGGCCGGCGCTATGGCACAGCGGTTTAACACCCTGGCCTGAAGCGCTGGCATCCCATGTGGGTGCCGTTTCTAGTCCCGGCTGCTCCTCTTCCGATCCAGCTCTCTGCTGTGGCCTGGAAAAGCAGTAAAGATGGCCCAAGTCCTTGGGCCCCTGCACCCACATGGGGAACTCACAAGAAGCTCCTGGCTTCAGATTGGCGCAGCTGTGGCCATTGCGGCCATCTGGGGAGTGAACCAGTGGATGGAAGACCTCTCTGTAACTCTGTCTTTCAAATAAATAAAATAAATCTTTTTTTAAAAGAAAAGAAAAGAAAAGCCCTCCTTACCAGCACCACCTGGAATCCTCATAAAAACAAACTTTGAATCCTCTCTTCAAACCCATCCATGAGAACAGGGGCAGGAAGTGAGGGGCACTGGGGCAAAATCTGCGCTTTGGTAAGTTCTCTAGGTCAAGTGTTTAACTGCCGAAGTTTAAGACATGCAACGTTAACAGATCTAAAACTATCATATGTGAAAGTCCCGGTCAACTGCTAGTGTGGTCGATGACAAATTTTACATGCCTCTAAAAGGAGGAT